CATCATACAGGAAGAATGCAAAAGGTCATTAAGATGATAAGAAAGAAGGAAAAGATCAAAATGGATGTCAGAAGAGACTCTGACAGGATGCAGGCTTGCAGAATGTGCCCTTTGTTTCCTTAAATTGTTATATATTCCTGAGTGTTTTTGTATACATCCAAAAAAAAAAAAAAAAAACAAACATACAAACAGAGGGAATAGAAGCCAATACTGTTGAATGATGATGCATGGAGGGGACTGTTATCATTGCACTGAAATGATGAGTGTAAAACAGATATTCTCCCATGTAAACTATCACTCAATTCACAATAAAAACTTAAAAAATAAGAGAGACTCTGAAACTTGCTCTGCAACATATAGATGCTAAAGCAAATGGAATAAATGTGAGGAATTAAAAGGGCTGAACAGAAAATGTCAAAGGGCAGCTCAAGAAGACAAAGTCAAGTATTTAATGAAATGTGTTAGAAAACCAAAATGGAAGAACACAGCATTCCTCAACCTGAAAAATCTGAAGAAAAAATTTAAGCCTCAACTTTCAATATTGAAGGATTCAATGGGCAAAATACTGAATGATGCAAAGACTCCAAAGATGAAAGGAATACACAGAGTCACTGTACCCAAAAGAAACAGACGATGCTCAACCATTTCAAAAGATAGCATATGATCAAGAATCAATGTGACGGAAGGAAAAAGTCCAAGGTGCACTGAAGGCACTGGCAAAGAACAAGGTTTGGGGAATTGATGGAATACAAATTGAATTTTTTCAACAAACTGATACAACAACTCATCTATGCTAAGAAATTTGTGAGACAGCTACCTGACCAACCGGCTGGAAGAATTCCATATTTGTGCCCATTCTAAAAATAGATGACCCAACGAAATGCAGAAATCATTGGACAGTATCATTAATATCACAGGCAAGTAAATTTCTGCTAAAGATAATTCTGGAAATGTCCTAATTTCACAGTCATATTTGAGAAACAGCTTTGTTGTGTATATGATTATTGGCTGGCAATATTTTCTTTCAAGTTTTGTAAGTGGAAAGTCTGGTCCTGACAGTGTGCCACAGCTATCATGAGGTTTTCAGTGACTAAATATTCGGAAGTAGTTCATCTCTCCTTCTTCCTAGCCTGTCTTCATCTGGAAGCTCATTGGAAACCTGTCCACTGTGGTTGACTTAGCTTCCAGAATCACAGCAAACGCAAGCGACCACAGTATAACAAACTGACAGGCAAGTGGTGTCAGTTTGATATCAGTTTGAGTACTAAGGTGCACCTGATGCAAGCCATGGTAATTTCAATAACATCACATGCATGCAAAAGTTGGAGAGTAAATGAAGAAGACTGAAGAATTGATGCATTTGAGTTATGGTGTTGGAAGAGAATATTGAAAGTACCATGGACTGCCAAAAGAACAAATAGATCTGTGTTGGAAGAAGTACAGCCAGAGTGCTCCCTGGAGGCCAGGATGGCCTGACTTCGTCTCTCATACTTTGGATACATTGTTAGGAGGGACCAGTCCCTGGAGTTTGGTA